ATGTCGCATAATTTATCAAACGTATAAATTATTTGCAGAAGTATATTATTACACGTGGAAAATGCAATGATTTATCGATGCACGTGAGAATTTGCACGGTTTGCGAGTGATGGTATTCAGGATGTAATTAAATTTTCTATTATAAATGGAACTATGCGATCGAGACGTTATTTGAATACATATGTATACAGTTTAGGGACAATATACAAAGAAAACAATTTATTTTCTTCGATTTCTTCTAATATCTTTTATGAAAATCTAAGTTCAACAGTATAAATGTACGACGTGCACAAGAACTTTACATTATTCGCTATTAATTTGCAGTTAACAGATATCTTGATATTTAAGTAGATATGCAAGTATCTACTGTATCTCAAACTCCTTTTTCTTTCTGTCTTCATTTTTCCGTGTACTTCATTCATTAGCTTAACTCTTTCAACTTTATTTACAATAATAACTGAGATGCATAAATGCACAACGAGAAGAAACACGTTTGTCTTCTTTTTTATTGATTATCCATTGAGCAATCCTAAGTGCAAGACTAAATTTTACTAAAAATCATTAAATAGAAATTTACGTTCAATTGAGCATTAAATTATACGCAATATTTGAACGTCAAGCAAGCAATCGTATATCTTGAGATTGTATTTAATTATGAAAGACAAATTACATATAAATCTTAAAATCAGACTATGAATATCTCACTTTTTTCAATTAAAAGAAATATATAAGTTGGTAAAAGTGAATTAAGCTCATATCACAATAATTATTGAGTCAAGCTAACAATTTACATTGCATCTTTTAAATTTTGCAAATCTAAACAACAATTCGTTGGAATGCAAAAATAAAGAAGCTAACTGAAAAAAATAAAAGTATACATATTTATGAATTACTCCAAGATAATCTTTTAAAAAATGTAATATAATTCATTTATTGGCCAATTATAGAGTATACAGCCATTTTACAAAACTTCTTTGTCTCTCAAGTACAATTTAATTTTGATGTACATATCCAAAATACTATCACATCTTATTTCTAAGAATTACATTCAGAGCAAGATTTTTTCAATTAAAAATAAAAATTTGTTTAAATCAAAGAAATTTGTGTATTGCATGTTAAACGAAAGTTTCATTGTTTTAAATGTCATTAAAATCAAATAAATTTTTCTTTTCCTCAAAAGTATTTAATTTCAATTTAAAAAATTAATTAAAAAATATATCAACGAAAGAAATGATTTTTTCAATTTATACGTAACTTTTTTTAAATATAATTCTAAAAGCTTACGTGTACCATATTTACTTACAAACAAATTTCAAAATCCTTGATTGTACGTAAAAAAAAAAATTAAAATAATTATAATATTTGTAATAAATCTTCCCGAACGCGATTTTCGATACATGTGGCGTCATCTAGGCGCTTACGCTTCAAACTCTGCCATAAAGTTTGACGGTTTTTCCTCCATTCGTCCGACGCACGTGTGGATTCGCGTGTACGGATCATTCACTTTTTGGCGCACAATTAGATACTAATAATTATCCACGAACAATCTCGCGTGTGATCGGAGATTCACTAAGTCACTAGACGGATCACAAGGAAGGATAGTCTCGAGAGGCATCGCGACGATCTGAAATCTCATTTGTTCATCTAGGTGAGTTCTCGAATCCGCTCGTGTTCCCTGCTCTTTACAATAACTGTTCACCTGCTGTTCAGTCTCGTTCCATCTCGTGTCATCTCATCTCGCCTTATTTCGCGACGCATTTTCGTGACTTAATCGGCGATGCGACGTCGTACGTCAGTTCTCGCTTCCTTTCCCATAGTGTTTTCCCTTTGCGAATAACGCACGTGCCTAACCTATGCCTTACGTAACGCGCGAAAACGCCGTCGGCCGATCGCTGGCTTTCTTCATGCCACGGATACCGTAACCGCAACCGCTGGTAAATTCCAGGTGAAAGGCAATGCCGTCCGACGCGAAGAAGAAACAGCAGCAGAAGAAGAAGGAGGCCGCGAAGGCGAGGCAGTCTGGCAAGAAACCGCAGAGCAATAATCAGAAGGCAGCTGAGGACGGCAAGGAACAGAGTCCTTGCGTGCAGAATGGCACCAACGGCACGGCTATTAGCGCCGAAGGTGAGACAAAGGAGCTTGTTGTTGCTTCCTATCCATTTCCGCCTTGCAAGGTCCGAATTTACATCCAAGCTGCTTTTTAATTATTTTTGAATGACAGCCAACATTTAGTCAGATTTGATATTTAAAATTCATAAGATATATTTCTAAAAAATATGTTGAAGAACCTTTAGTTTGACATTTCCAATTGCTCTGATATTAATAGATTGTCAAAACATTACTGAATTCTCAGTGTAAATATTTCCTAAAAGTTTTTTAAGGTATATATGTGTGTATGTGTGTATATATCTTATGACAGAATAAATTAATTTAGAAAATACTGAATAAAAGAAAATAATATTAATTGCTTAATCTAAAAAAATATGGAATTTTCATTATAGTATTTTTAAATAATTTATTTAAATTATTTTTAAATTATTTTAAAATAATATTCATTATTGTATATACTTACAATAAGTTAAAAAAGTCCATATGTGCTTTATAAATACTTTATTATAAATATTTTATTTTTGAAAACCATTCTTGTGATCACTTTATGCTTATGAACACTTCTATTTCATTGAAACATTTATTAACATACATGCAATAAATATATTTACAGAGGCATTATGTCTGAAATTGGAGGAAGATGCCAGATTGAACGCGGATGCACGTTCGTGCACTGGCTCGCTGGCTTCGCATCCACGCAGCCGAGATATAAAAATATCTAACTTTTCTATTACTTTCCATGGCTGTGAACTTCTGCAAGATACCATGTTGGAATTAAATTGCGGTAGACGTTATGGATTGTTAGGTCTAAATGGCTCCGGGAAATCTACATTGTTGGCAGTGTTAGGAAACCGCGAAGTTCCTATTCCGGAGCAAATAGATATTTTTCATTTGACTAGAGAAATGCCTGCAAGCAATAAGACAGCTCTGGAATGCGTGATGGAGGTTGACGAGGAGCGCGTGAGATTAGAGAAGCTTGCCGAAGAGTTAGTAGACTGCGATGAAGAGGATGCTCAGGTTTGTTTACAAAATAATATTTATCTAAACATCTTCATGAAATAGGATGATGACTTTTATTTACAAATTTACTTTATGTAAACACAGGAGCAACTCATGGATGTATATGAGAGATTAGAAGACATGGCAGCCGACACGGCTGAAGCTCGTGCTGCCCATATTTTACATGGTTTGGGTTTTACTGCAAAAATGCAAAAAACTCCTACCAAAGACTTCTCAGGAGGTTGGCGAATGCGTATAGCTCTTGCTAGGTATGCAAAAAATTTTTAATGTACATAAAAGGAAAATACTATAAAAATTTCTATTTATATAAATTTTTTTTGCATTTCTTTTACAGAGCACTATATGTAAAACCACATTTATTGTTGCTCGACGAACCAACCAATCATCTCGATCTCGATGCTTGCGTATGGTTAGAAGAAGAACTCAAAACTTATAAACGAATTCTCGTTATAATCTCACACTCTCAAGATTTCCTCAATGGCATTTGCACCAATATCATCCACGTCAATAAGAAGCAATTGAAATATTACACCGGTAATTACGAGGCGTTCGTGAAAACAAGGTGAGTTGCAAAAGATATCACTCTGAGAAAACATTTCTTCTAATATCATATTATTACTTTGTATGTTTTTTTTCTCTTCGTTTTTAGAATGGAATTACTTGAAAATCAAGCGAAACAATATAACTGGGAACAAGATCAGATTGCACATATGAAAAACTATATTGCGCGATTTGGTCACGGCTCAGCAAAATTGGCTAGACAAGCACAATCGAAAGAAAAAACTTTAGCGAAAATGGTGGCGCAAGGTCTGACCGAAAAAGTTGTTAATGATAAAGTACTAAATTTCTATTTCCCTTCGTGCGGAACGATTCCACCACCGGTTATCATGGTTCAGAACGTTAGTTTCCGTTACAACGAAGATGCGCCTTGGATTTACAAGAATCTAGAATTCGGAATTGATTTGGATACCAGAATCGCATTGGTTGGGCCAAACGGAGCAGGAAAGAGTACCCTGCTGAAGCTGTTGTATGGTGATGTACGTTGGGAATGTATATTCTATTAGTAAATGAGAACTCAATATAATTTTGTTAACAAGATAATTTCGCGTTACAGTTAGTACCGACAAGCGGAATGATTCGTAAAAACAGTCATCTCCGAATCAGTAGATATCACCAACATTTACATGAGTTACTTGATTTAGATATATCGCCTCTCGATTATATGATGAAGGCTTTCCCCGAGGTGAAAGAGCGTGAAGAAATGAGAAAGATTATTGGCCGCTATGGTCTAACTGGGCGTCAACAAGTATGTAATTTATGAAATAATGATATTTAAGAACGATGAATAATAATCGGATACGCTCGTATTTAGGTTTGTCCTATTCGTCAATTGTCTGATGGTCAACGTTGTCGAGTTGTGTTTGCCTGGTTGGCTTGGCAAGTGCCTCATCTGTTGCTGCTCGATGAGCCTACCAATCACTTGGACATGGAAACAATCGATGCCCTCGCTGACGCCATCAATGATTTCGATGGCGGCATGGTTCTCGTATCGCACGACTTCAGACTGATTAATCAGGTACATGCATTTCCGTATGGCTTTGCTTTAATTCAAGAAAATTGTAAGTTTTATGGAAGCATTCTATATACTCGATGTTTAGGTCGCTGAAGAAATCTGGGTGTGCGAGAATGGGGCGGTCACAAAATGGAGTGGCAATATTTTGGATTATAAGGAGCACCTTAAAGACAAGGTTCTGTCCGACAACCAAAAGAGGCAGAAGGATTTGGCGAATCGGGGAAAATAATGGAGGCAGCGCTGCGATTTTGATCCACTTCTTTCTTTCCAGTGCACTATACCTCCATATTTATAGGAATTTTTTTTTTTTTTTTTTTTTTGAAAATTGTAACATGTTAATCGATATTATGTACGCTATTCTGTAGCGCATCAGTAATCGATTACATTACTTAGTTAATTTATTGAAGTATTAGAGAAGGCCGAAATTAATCCTTGACAACCCGCAGGTTGTTGTGGCACATTACTACAGTAGGAATCTAGAATTTTGAAAATTCGTGCATATTATAAGAGAATACAGATCAAATTTAAATAAATTATCGACAAGCTCTATTTATAATCATAAGTATATTAAAAAAGAAAGGACGAAAACCCAGTGATTTGTTTTTGAAGATCAACTTCATTATAAATTCTTACTAACCTAAAACAATTTGATTATCTTCAAGTATATAAAATATTGTAACGTGTACAAACATATGCAGGTACGATCGATTATATAGTCCCAAAATACATTTTTATCCATGTACGTATATAAATAACTATGATAATGTAACATGGAAGACGTCATTTTCGTATATCTCTGTGTATTGTAAAATGTCGAAAGATGTCTTGGCGAATTTTCACCGCGTTTAAAAACGATTATTAAAATATATCCTTCACGATACTTTCGACGTGTGCTGTATATAAACCTATATATATATTTATATATATTTATATGCATTCTTTTTATAGTAACGATAATTGACAAAATACTGACGAGTTTTCCCCCCCATCAGTAATCTCGAACTTTGTTCATTTTTGTGCCTTGAGATCAGCGATGACCCATTTTTGCATAATTGCCGTCTGATGTATGATTCGAATTTACTAAACGCTATATTTACAAATCTAGCGGCCATATTATGTACAGCTTTCGTTGCGATTGTGTGACGAAAACAAAATCACGAGAAGCTAGAGATAATCCGATGATTACAAATACTGTAGCGACAGAGATTTGATTTCATCGCGAAATCAATCAACGTATACTCAAACTGGCGTAGAGGCTGGGATAGAACAAACCACTTCCTGAGCCAACGCTGCGTTTCTCAGTATCAATAGATGAGTGTCCATGTCGTTCAGGGCTTGATCAATAAATGCCAGTTTTCTGGCTTGGCTCTTAGGCACGCCGTGTTTGGTCACCAACGCTAAATGAGTCACAGCCAACACCAGAGCTGCCACTCTAGCTTCCAATAATCTAGCGTCTAAAGGAGGATACAAACTGCGAACAACGTCATCTACACGAGGTGGTATGCGTCGGGCGACCTACGAATAAGAATAAAAACTTGTAAGAAGAATATAATACAATAATATATAGTAATCGCACTTACATCCACTATCTCCAGTGGAACAGTATTACTGTTGACAGTTCCAGCGATAGTAGTAAGACTGGCTGCTAAAGAATGACAAGATCGAAGCACTGCTATACAAGGTGGAGCTAAACCAGTGGCATCGTCAACCCATCTAGAACGCAAAAGTATCATTTTTCAAGCTGCATAACATTTATTAAATTCTCACAAAATTAATGACAGGAAAACGAATAACGCGAATGTTGCATTTTCATTAAATTTTTTAAATTTCTTAATTAAATTTTTCATAACAGATATCTGTAAACTGAATCATAGATAAAAGTTACATAAATACATTACATGCAACGTTATTTACTATTTTTATTATTTCTTCGTCGTTACAAAGTACTAATAGAAATAGATAACGAAATAATGAAATTACTTGTAGCCGAAAAGCATTTAACAAAATAATGAAAAAAATATCTGTAGACATTTTGTATCTACTAATTTGAATTAAAGATAAAAGTGTCATATACAATATTATTTACTATTTTTATTAATTCTTCATTGTTCATGATTCTTCTTTTACCTTTCAGCACCCGCCAACCACTCTTCACTCTCCCACGCATCTAATCCCAAACCAGTGATGTTCTCTCCTTCGAGCAGATCGGAGTTCAGCTCCGCGGAATCCTTTTGATTCTGGAAACAATGAAGATTATTATATTTCTTGCCTAGCATCTCTGTCTCTTTTGTCACTGGACTTACGTAATAGCAACGTTGTCTACGACAGATAACCAGAAGTACCAGAAGAGCGCCGAGGAAGACAGCGGCGAGTGCGCCCAGGGCGACCGCCACCACTGTTTCCATACCAGTGGCAGTAGTCGGTGGTCCAGCGTTGCTCATAGATATTGGTGAACTCATGGTCACACGGAATAGATTAAAAGATGACTGCCAATTTGACAAACCGAAGCGTCACAACGAGCTCGGGTGGAGAGACAGGATCAACCGGATTTACATTGGTATCTAAAGCAAAATATCAACAATCGCACAGTGATCGCGTCGTCATCCACTCTCTCAATGATGGACAACGACGGTGGGAGGCGGCGACTGTCACGGGTCTTAAGCCCCGTTCACTGTGCCAGATTAGCAACGCGACTCTGTTAAGAATTTAGAGTGACTTCAACTAAACTCTGAGTAATCCTATTCAATATCTTTTAACAACAATATTTGTATTGTTAAATTGTCATAGTGCAAGTTTTTTTATCATATACGAAACATGCAAAATAACAATGTACTGATACTGGCATTAAGAATTATAGGATAGGAGCCATGATTGGTGAAGCAATACCTGTAATATCAGTAATATCATAATGTTAAAATGTAATGTTGGAAGTATAAAAGTTACTTGTGAATATGTTTTTTTTCTTAATATATGGAAAAAAATTAGAGACAAATTATATAATTGAAAATTATGCTTTAAATAATTCTAGCCTTGAATAATTCAATTCTAAATTTTGCATTAAGTAATTCTTGAAAATTAGCTTATAATTAATGATTAACTTATCAAGCAGTACAATATATCAGCATATGATAATTTTTTATAGCTTCTAAAATTATACTTTTATAAAAGTTAATATTAAAAGTGTAAAAGTAAATTACAAATATAATTACAAGTATATCTATTTTGCCTACCTTGTACTGAAAATCTATAGTATACGTGCACTATAGATTTAAGTACTGGCAGTAAATATCGAATTGCAGTCTATATATCTCTATTACTACGCTAATATTTAAATATTATTAAATTTTTATTTAAAATCGCATTTCTATCAACATCTGTGTTTTACCGTGTTTTCAACGATTTATTTTGCGTTCGCGCTATAAAAGTCTTCGAAAAAGACGCGCCAAATGCATTCATATTCGTGCGAGTTGCGCACTCGAGGTTGCGCTTTCTGCACGTAGCGTGGTAACTCTGCACCCGGAGATGAATTAATTTAGCGGATCTCGCAGTCAGATGTTTCCCGTTGTCGCGTGACAGCGACAGTTCGCCGTGCTGTCAAGTTCCGTTTCGACCGGCGATCGCGCGCGCTTTCATCTCCCCGAGGTGATACGTCACTCGAGTGCGCTTATCAGGCTTATCTCATTCTCACCCAGTCCGACGCCCGTCAACTCGACGAACAGCTGAGCGTTTTTCAAGTTCCCGTGCTTATCGCCAGATTTGCACATTTATCGGTCCGCGCAACGTAACCCTACCTCGTGCCATCACATCGTCTATCTCGGCCACGCAAACTGGTTCCAAAGAATATTGCAACAGTCAATTCCACGTGGACGTCCGCAATGCGACTCGAGGGTTGCGAAACTTGATGCTAAGAGGACGGGGACTTGGAAGAAGAAATCGACATCGACTGTAAACATCGCGTGAAACGACGAGCTGAGCCATTGAGGTGAGGTATCTGATTTACGCCGAGCGGAGAAAATAGCGTGTCTTTGGCAGTGTCCGTTTGCAAGTAACACTGGGCTACATGGTAAGGATGAACAGAAAGACCAACAGTGCGACGGCCAGATTGAGACAGGACTATCTCCGCCTTAAAAGAGATCCAGTGCCGTATGTTCTTGCAGAGCCAGTGCCTTCGAATATCCTGGAATGGTAAGTCTAACCTAGTTAAACAAGCTATCAAGTAAACACCGACATCAATTAGTGTTTTCCATTTACTAACTCAAGTCAATACAAATATCATTCTATTTTGACAGTTCAGTAAGTAATAAAGATAGAATGATATTTATATCGATTTGTGATGTCGATTTGTTTACTTTACATTCAACAATATAAATATAATAGTGAATTCGACCACTTGGATTCAACCACTACATTGGATTAGTATATATATCAAAGTTACTACTTTATGTATGGTATCTAAATGCATTGGCAAATGGATTATAATATAATCAACATTAACAATGAAATAGTACATGTATATTCTATATTGACAATTGCTTTTCGTTGAATGCACATTCCTTTTATATTCTGACACGTGAGATTCAACTGAGTTTTTACCTATAATCTGCACAAGATTGAGATCATGTGCTCTAGTGAATCTCATAAATTCACTTTAAAAGGATTATGAAACCTGTGTTGTCATGTGATAACTTTTTTTACCAAAGTAAGCAAATAATGACGTCAATAGTCTGAGTATGAAAAAAATACAATCAGCTCACTTCAAACTCAGTTTCACTTATATAAATAGAAAGCAGCTGATTATTATTATTGGATATTTAATTATTTAAAATATTTCTACATTTAATTTTGTTAATTTTATGTATCGCTGCTTTTATGTATGTACTAATCTAGTGTAATACAAATGAAAGAATTTGTTATAACACATGTTATACATAACAATTAATACATAACAGTTAATTGTTGTGAAATTATAATATTGAGACTGCATTTCGCAGAAAAAGCAACTTTGCAATTTGTATAAGATTCTTTAATATGATTTATTTGGAGTCAGTGAAGAAGAATAAGACTAATCGTATTAATGAATACAATCATTGCAAAGCTGTTTTTCTACTGAACACAACCATTGAACGTTATGTTATTGTCAGTTAGTACATTTATAAACTAATCGTCAATCAACTGTTTACGAATGATTTAATGTATGTCCTGCTTGTTTCAGGCATTATGTGGTCATAGGACCGGAAAAAACACCATATGAGGGTGGATTTTATCATGGAAAACTCATATTTCCAGGAGAGTTTCCATTTCAACCTCCTAGCATTTACATGATCACTCCCAACGGCCGATTTAAAGTCAATACGAGATTGTGTCTATCCATTTCCGACTTCCATCCAGATACATGGAATCCAGCATGGAGCGTATCTACTATTCTTACTGGCTTACTCAGCTTTATGGTGCATTTCTTGAAATATTTCGACAGTGTAGTTTCGAAAAGATATTTAATTATAGTTTTGTGTTTACAGATTGAAAAGAGTCCCACGCTCGGCAGTATTAATACAACAGATTATGAGAAGAGACAGCTGGCTGCACAAAGCTTAGAATATAATTTGAGGGACAAAATGTTCTGCGAACTCTTTCCAGAAACTGTCGAGGTAATGAATAATAATGTATTAATAATATTATAACAATTTAGAAAACTCTCAATTTGACATAATATTACTGTTGATCGATTAGACGATCAGAATGGAACTGGAACGTCGGAAAGAACTTGAGAAACAAGCGAGGCATCAGTCTACTGCGTCCGAAGTCTCTTCGTTGATACGAGATCAGTTCCAGAGAGATCAGAGTCCATTACACAGCGCACTAGCAAATCTCGTTGTCATCATTGGCTTCGCGGCGTTTGCGTACACGGTGAATTGTGTGCTGAAGAGCATAGCCATGGAATAAGTCCGAATCAGAATATTATGTATTTCAAACTATACGAGACAAAGGGAGAGAGAGAGAGAGAGAGAGAGAGAGAGAGAGAGAGAGAGAGAGCTGTAACGATCACCTACAATGACCTACATACATCCGGGAAAGAAGAGAATTACACGAAAAAAGAAGATATAGGTTATACTTGCCTATCGATCAATCTTTCAAATTCGTGCAGATCGAGCTCCATTCGATTCCACGCGGCTTGGAACCTTCGCCAGTAAAACTGTGGATAGTTTCATAGATTTTTATATCAAGGATTCATTGTAAGATACAAGCTGTATTATACTTGCAAATTCTACGCATTCTAGTAATTAACGAATAATCTCTCAATTCGCATAAGACACGTGCGCAAAACAGAACATATAATCGCAGTGGCTTCCCTGCCATTTTTCTTATCAGATTTGCTCTCTTCTGACTTATAAATATGAGGAACCAAGTTTCTTCTTTGCGGTGCTGATATTCTTCCTTTTATTGAATTTTCTACACTTTTATGATTGATTGTATTCAAATGCATCCAAAGAAGTGCGTGTGTGTGTGTGTGTGTGTGTGTGTGTGTGTGTGTGCGCGCGCGCGCGCGCGCGTATGTGTGTATGTGTGTGTGCGTAACTTACAACACATTTGTTTAGTCTCGTTTACAGAGAATCTCTCGGATAGAAATGCACAAATTAATTGCACTTCGCAATGTGCCAATAAAACTAAATCCAAAATTAAAATGCAATTTCGACAAATCAGATTATGCTTCGCATCCTGACTCATCCTATTCATGGAATGAGTCTATATTTTGTAAATATGTGATAAGGCCGGAGGCGTTCGAGAGCATGCTATTAACATTATTGTATTATTTTATTTTTATTAGACATGAAACAAGGATAGAATGATGCAATGACACTGATAGCGCGCTCCCTGAACGCAGCCAGAGATATAATAGGTATCTCTACGCCATTAATGTAAAAAAGAATATAGCTATGTCCATCACGTCATCGGTGATTATCTCGACTTCCTTAAAAACTTTACAATTGATGTGTTTCTTTGTTTAGGCATTAAAATGGCTCGTAGTATTATTTCTTCGTGAATTTCTTCCATTTGAATAGCATTTCTTCCTTAATTGACATGAAAAGAAACTTTTATATTTCAAGTAAATTTTTGCTCTTCCATGACTTTTATTGTGTAATATTGAAAATATAATATTGTGTAATTTCTAAAAAAAAAATTGAATTGAACTATATAATTCGAATATATTGAAAATAGATTAGATATACAATTCTTTTTCTTTTTTTTTTTTTATACTACATCAATAATCTCTACCAACAATTTGTTAAATGGTAAGATAGTTATTTAATATATATGATATATTGAAATGTATGTTTTTATCGGAACTTACTTTATTATTTATATCTTTATTGGTTAATTTCTACGGGCCACGGATTTTCGATTTTATTGAATATTCTTTCAAAAGATAAAACCATTTCGCAATTATGCTTATAATATTCTATTCTACCATCATATATGTAAACATATGCGTATCGTAATTATTAAATAATTACGGCGAAATGTAAATACCTACTATGTTATTATTACTGTAAGCGTGTGGAATATAGTTTACTTACCTGAGAAATATCGTGCTTTTCGAGATTGTCTAATAGAATCAAATTAACCAATATTCATTTAATCCTTTATTGAAAAAATTCAATTACATATCGTAATTAGAAAATATATGCAATATATTTCAGAGAATTGCGCAAAGATGTGGAGCAAATAGCGTTGAAATTTTAGACGAGTGGTATCAGTTTCAGCAAGTTGATTTTTTTTGCAACTAACAAACGAATCTATTAATAATCGACGAAGACGTACGATTCCGAAAGTAAAATTGGAGTAACGCGCCGATCAGTTGCAGTTTGCCGCTCAAAGAGACTCCTGTTACAAAGAAATTTCGCAAACGAGAGGAAGCTCGTCGGAATACGAATGGAGAGACAGCGAGCATTCTCTCGCGGTTTACCATTCCGGTAAATTGTTAGAATCCCAGCACTGAATGCCTCGTTGTCCGGGTGCGCTCGGGAGGAAGGATGCGTCCTGTGAACCGAATCCGCGCGATCTTGTCGAATGTCGTGTCCTCTCCGCGTTAGTGACTGTTTATTAACTCTTTCAGAGTCCCTTCCCCGACTGTGTATGTTAACTTTTCGTTTTAGCTTCCGTTTAAACTCGCTACGTCTTCCCCGCGATTTATCTATATATGTTTCGTGTGAAACTTTATTAGTAAACTTCACGGTTCTGATATCTTAGAAATATGAGGCAATTTTAAATTGAGTGTGATGCAGCGCAATAACTTTTCAAATAATTTTTCTTACATATTCTTTTTATTATAAAAGAATTTACTAAATCTTGATACGTATTTCTTTGAACAATACTAAGTAAATATTTACTTGCAAATAAATATTTACTCAATAAAAAATTAGTTAAATTAATGGTTTTGATATAAATAAATATATGTTTACAATCTAGTGAATATTTACTTAGAACTTTATTCAAACAAATTTTTTTAAATTAAATTTATTTTTTCAGTGTATAGACCACGCATCTTTAATTTTTTAATATTTTATTAAACATTTAATTATTAAATTATTTAAATATTTTGTTAAATATAATGTTTAATCGCATATTTATGTCATTAATATTATTAATTTATTGATTAAATTTTATTATATCTTAATACCTCGTTTTAATATCTGTCGACGCCCAGCTCCGCTTTTATCTGGCAGCCGATTCATCTTTCTTACGCCAGCGGCGAACCGGCCGGCACATGTCGCGAACGTGATGTTATTTTGTATCCCATCGTCGCGTCCGTATGATCCACTTTAATCCGTGAAAACATCCCGCAAAAGAAGCAAACAGCAATTTATTCGACCACGTAATAACAAGGAAGTCGGCCAGCCGCTTCACCATCGAGAAGCCGCATCTGTAATCTCCACCCTCAGCTGGAACACCCTTCCGCGTCGGTAACGCGTCCGCCCCCTTGACGTGTAAATCATTGACGGAGGCGCCAGGACACTCTCGGTTTCGCTCCGAATCCTGCGTAAATAAGATGCACGTGTCCGCGGCAGGATGTTAGGCACGTATAAGTATATCTGTGATATGCATTTATTAAGATCGCTTTTGGCGGTCGTTTCCAGAGTTGAGAAAATGGACAGCCGAAGTTATTGAACTAAGAGAGATAGATGCGGTGGTTATCGCATTTTCCCTGTAAATTTATGCATCTCAAAATAGAATGCGCTCTTCGAAGTGATTTCCAGAATAAAATATGTTTTATGGGAGAAATTAATTAAGAAAAATATCAAATTACTAGTACTCCGCTCGTATAAAACTTCTTGACGTTTTTGTCGTTTCGTAAAATTAATTCTCTGTTAGCGATTTGAAATTTTTATCCTTCGTCCACAGGGTTTTCAAACTTCAGTGCAAATTTTTATATTACTTCGGATTGCATAAAAATTTGAAAAAAGATTTTATGTTCTTGTGGAAGATTTACGTTATCATAGAATAATCAAAATAAGTTAATATCAGCCAAAAATTTTGATACTTAATTTATGAATATGTCCTGAAACAAATTGCAAATACAAAACAAATAATTTGACTTATAATGATTTTATGCAGCAAAAATTATATTTTCCTCTCTGCAGTTTTAGATTAATAACTTTTAAACGAATAAATGAATCCAAATAAATTTTCGCATGAATATTTATTATTTTTTGATCAATATATATTCAAAATTTGATAATTCTTAACGCTATTTTCCAATCAAATTTGCAAATAAATATTACAAAATGCGATTTTAAAATCAATTTCTAACAAAAAAATTAATTAACTTTTATTAACTTTTAAATCAATAAGAGAATTGTACTCAAATTTTATATACAGATATTCAAGCGTAATAATAGAATAATTTATATAGTTATTTATAATAGAAATTTTTATAGTTTTAACAATGTTTTGTAACCCAAACATTCTTAAAGTTTACACTGAAAAAAAGAGTCTAGTAATAGCTATCAAATGTTGAGTGAAATAATTTCAATCAAATGTCCGGTTAATATAACAAAAAGATTTTACTCTTAAATATTTAGAAATAGTAAGTATTATCAAACATAATAATATAGTATAACCAAGCGTTTGATAATAATTACTAAATATTTAGAAAAATAAAATTACTTTTCGTTACATTAACTAAAACATTTGAAATTATTTCATTCAATATTTGGTAGTTACTACCAAACTTTCTTCTCGGTGCAACATTGCTGGTGGAGGATTAATTTGCAACCGTCATGAGTTAGAATCGTGTCGAATCAAAGTTCGTGCGTCTCGAAGTGTTTACAAAATTTACATCACTGCTAAAATCGATAATCTGATTTTCAGTTCGGCCATAGCTTTTACACGCCCGTTTGATACCGGAAACGAAGAAAATGAGTACTTTCCCGCGAGGGTGATTTAGAGTGTCGTCAATCGGGCTGGAATGGTTCGTGGAATCATTTTACGCTCTCGGTCCCCAGTGGGTGGGACAAGACGCGATTTCAACAGGAAAGAAAAAAAAGAAGAAAGAGAGAGAGAGAGAGAGAGAGAAAAGGGAATGGGAACACGACCATTGAAAACCGTCTCTGGGATAATTAACTGTAGGGACGACCTCATTACGCGACTTAATGAGCTGCCAGCGACCGCATCGTGTCCATGTCGCGGTGCTGATACTTTTTCGAGTTTCGGGAGAACGGAGTGGAACGTCACGGTAAAAATTGCTTGTACCAATGATTTATTATGACTAAAAGCCGGCGCGACCTGATTTGTCAATTTAACAAGCCGCGCCTTGTCGCGTCTTGAAAAACGGGACAATTAGTCCAGAAAAATAAATAACAATTATAAATTTTCACGAGACATTGTGCACTTAATCTCGTATATAAAATGAGTAATAACTTTTTATGCCAAACGATTTTTATTTATATCCCCAGCAAATATTGCGCCAACTAACTAGTAATAACATATA